CATCTACCTACCACTTCAGCATTTTATTAAAAATAATAATAATAATAATAAGGGAGAAATGTGGGATTCACAGATAAATCAAGTATAAAAATCAAACGAATAATCATATTTGCCCTGATTGTTTATAGTTCATTATGTGTGATCAAAACCTAAAGTTTCTGTGATGAATGCCCTTGCACTGTTCACCATGTAAGAACTTATTCACTATGTAAGAACTTGTTCACCATGTAAGAACTTGTTCGTTATGCTTCAGAAGATTGGAGACTGTTGAGAATTAGGCTTGGGGTTGATTAATGATTGTGCATTAAGTCCCCTATCCAGAATTTTATTGTTGTTAACAACCATTTGATCAATAAATATGAGAGATGCCCTCTCAAAAAAAATAAAATAAATAAAAAATAAAAAATAAAAAATATATAAATTGGAACATGATACATACCACAGATTGTTAGTTTGGTTAACTTGCTTGTTAGTCTATTTTATTTGGAGTTGGGGGAGAAGAGTAGGGAGAACACAACCCTGGAACATAAAAATCTAACCTGCAAGGTCCTTGTCACATCAAATCAACATAACAAGAAATTAAGCCTGTGAAAGAACTATGAATTTTTCAAAGAGACAGTTAAAAACAAACTGAGTTGATCTGTAAGAACTTTACAAAAGCTGGAGAGATGGGACTTATTACTAACCACAATCTTCCATTCAAAACCCCTAAAGGGTTCAGAGGCAATTAGCAAGGACCCAAGAGTAGCCAGCAAAAAACAGAAGGGTGTTTTTTTCCTAGTCATGAAAATTTGCAGTGTGCACTCCACTAATCATCTTGAGCCCTTCCACCTCACTCATCCAACTTCTACAAATGGTCTAGTTTTAGGTCTTCAAGGGGAACTTTAGCTGCTGAGCAGGGACGACCAGGGAGACAATTGTAGGCAGTGAGCAGTCCACATTTCATTTTCAAACACTGAGTGCCTGGTAAGTGCAGACTGGGGTTTCATTGATAAATAAAGTCTGGTCCTTACCCTTGAGAAGTTAAAAATATGGGCGTCAAGAGCCACTGTCTGCCATTCAGTCCTCCCATCCTCAGTAATGGACTCCCAGTAAGGAGTAGAGGTTCTCTCAGCAATGGGCCCCAGTTATTCTGTGAACAAGCACTTTGACCCTGAGGAACTGGGGACTTGGTGCCAGCCTTCTCTTCGGGGACTCTGAGTCCTTCTTGTCTCTACCTGAGCTCCTGACTCTTCCAGTCTGGTCCCTGCTGCCCCAGGCAGACTTCCTGGATTCTAGACTTCCTGCCTTTGCTCATCTCTGAGGCTTGACCCATCTTCCTAGCCCAGCCCTACCTCCCCTAAACCTCCCTCCATGCCCTGCCTTCAGTGTCTTCTGTTGGCCCCACAATTACCTAGTCTTGACTTTAGACTACAGGATGCCTACAGGTGGGCTCTTTAAGTCTGGCGTTGATAGAAAAGTACCTCAAGGTAACTTGCATAAGCAAAGGACATGAAAGTAAATTATCCATGGAAATCATAAATATTTACAATGTAACTTCAGGGAATATTGTATCCCACTATTCCTTTATGTCAATATGGACAAAATCTAAGGCATCAGAGCCTGCCTTTTGCATTCTTATCTCCTAGGTGATCCAACATAGAAAACAAGGAAGGCGTTTCGGGTTTCTAATTCCAAATCTGCTATTTATCTGCAGTGTCACCATGGAAAAGTTACTGCACATCTCTGAGCCTAAATTTCTTCATCCATAAAACCAAATTAGGAATAAACCCTGATTCATAGCTTTTTTGTCAGGAGTAAATGGGATAATATATGTTAATGGTCTCAGGCATAGCACTTGGCACAAAGTAATTTCAATAAATTTTAGAGTAATATGGCTGCCTATTAAAACTATTTTTAATGGTTAGGAATTTGAAAGTATTGGCATTAGAAATTTTTATTGCTTGTATTTTCTTTTTGAAAACTTCAAGTGGAAAATATATAAAATACTCGATTATATAAAGAACCAATTTTCACATCCTATTGGTCAATCCCCAGTCCCTTCAGCGCCGCTTATTTAAGCTTATCTCTTTCGTATTTTTTCCCTTTTGCCACATTTTTATCTGGATTTTCTTTTTACTGTAGACTTAGAGCAAATATATCAATTAAGGCATTTTTAAGTAGAATTCGGTACAAAATGAAAAATAAACTTTTCTCTTCCACCCCAGATTTCCAATTTTTTTTTCCCAGATATAATTGAATCTTCGTTTAAATTCTTATAAATCTTTCAAGCTTTTGAACTATTTTTCACACAAATGGGACAATACTATAATACACCTCTGTATATTATCTTGCCTTTTCATTTAACATGATAATATATAACATACATACCTACCATTCATTTTTATGTGCAATAGCCCTTCCTGTTTATAAAAATAACAGTGTCTTATATGCTTTTGCACACCTATCTTTGAGCACTTTGGAAAAATATGGATAGGACAAATTTCTAGAAATGCAATATTAGGTTAAAGGGTCAAAGCATTTTCAACTTCATTAGATATTGATGCCAACTGTCCACCCATGAGGTGGAATGAGATTGTATTCCTGTCTCCCAATGGTACACAAGATTTTCTGCTTTCTTGAAACCTTCCACCATATGTCTATCCAAGTCTTAAATCACATTGATTTGATAGGTGAAAATTATTATCTCTTTGTTGTTTTAATTTTCATTTTGTAGGTTTTGAATGAAATTGGGCATTTTCACATACTTTTCACCATTTGTACTTATAAACTGTCAAAATATTTGTCCATTTTTATAAATAAATTCATAAGTATTTTTTCCACTATAAAGGAATTAACCCCTTGTTTGACACATGTGATGCATCATTAAATTTATAGTGAAAAAGCTTCCATCACTAACTGCACATTCATTTTTATATATCACATATAATTGTTCTATATATATATATATATAGCCTAAAAGAGAAAAACAAAATAGAAAACTAAGACTGATTTTACACCAAATGTCACTACAGCATTTTATCATTGTACTTCATAAAATAAATTAAGTGATACCAACTTATAAGTAATTATTTACTATTTCTGTTCATAAGAGTGACTCACAGTTAAACTTAGTAATAATATTTCAGTATTTGGATCACTTTGCAAAAATCGACTGTACTAGGCATCAGACCTTATGTGCTCTGCCTGAAGAACTGAGTACTGGAGCTTACTTCTTCTAATCACCACTTATAATTATTCCATGGGAGGTATTTAGAGCCATCAAGATAGTTGATTAAATGATTCTAGAAGAAACCATGCTAACCAAAAAATCGACAGCACAGAAATGAAGCAGAAGATCACATATTTTTTTGTGAACTCTAGTGGCCGACGAATGCTAACACTAGAAAACAAGCCGGTCTGATTCTGCAAAGTCCCCATTTTCCAGTAAATAATGCCCCAGTTAGACTGTAAGTTTCTTTTGGATAGAAACTGAATCTTAAGGTTCTTTTTTTTTTTACTTTAATTGTGATAAGATAACAGCTACCCTGTTACAAACTTTTAAACGTACAATACATTATTGTTGACTACAAGTACAAGGTTGTACAGCAAATCCCTAGAGTTTATTCATCTTGCTTGACTAAAACTTTAGGCCCATTAATTAATAACTCCCCATTTCCCCCTCTCCTTGACCTCTGGCAACCATCATTCCACTCTGGTTCCATGAATTTGACAATTTTATATAACTCATATGAATGAAATCATGCAACATTTTGTCTTTCTGGGACCGGCTTATTTAACTTAGCATAATGTCCTGGGGTCTGTCCTGTTGCCACATACTGCAGAATTGCCTTCATTTTTAAGGCTATATAGTACTCCATTGTGTGTATATGCCACATTTTCTTTATCTATTCACCATTCAATGGACATTCAGATTGTTTCCACATCTTGGCTCTTGGGAATAGTGCTGCAGTGAATGTAGGAGTGCTAATACCTCCTCCAGATCCTGATTTCAATTATTTTGGATAAATACTCATAAGTAGGATTGTTGAATCAGATGCACTATCTTTAATTTTTTGAGAAAACAGCATTCTGTTTTCCATAGCAGCTGTACCATTTTGCATTCCAACCAGCAGTGTACAAGGGTTCCCTTATATCTACATCCTACCCAACACTTGGCTTTTGCTTTTTTGATAACAGCCATCCTGACAGGCATGAAGTGATATCTCATTGTGGCTTTGTTTGCATTTCCCTGATGATTAGCTATATAAAGCATCTTTTCCTGTACCTGTTGGCCATTTGCATCTCTTTTTGGAGAAATGCCTATTCCAGTCCTTAGTGCATTTTTAAAATTTGGTTATTAGTTTTTCTATTATTGAGTCATGGGAGTTCCTACATATTTTAAAGATCAACCTCTTATCAAATATATGGTTTGCTATATTTTCTCTCATTCTGTGGGTTGCCTTTTCATTTTCTTAATTCTTTCTTTGTTGTACAGAAGCTTTTCAGTTTGAGATAGTCCCACTGACTTATTTTTGTGGGTTTTTTTTTTGCTTGCTAACTTTCTTTATATGTCCCATAATTAACAATTTCCAATAATATTTGCACATTCAGTATGAATTCTTGCGTATAACCTAGTGATTATTAACATCATCCATTGGTCTTAAATATAAATCAGTAATTTCAGGACAAGTATATTCTCCTGATATCTAAATATTCTTGCTATGTCTCTGGTTCATCATTTCTTCACATGCACATCCCATATTCTCATAATCTCATATTGTATTTAATCCATCAATTCTGAAGAAATGTTCACCTTGTATTTCCAATTATGTAAACATATTTCATATTTATTATACTATTCCTCTTTTACAGAAGTATTTTTGGGAAGATAAATATAGATAAAGGAAAACTTATAGACCAAAAAATGTTCAGTGAAGGTCAACATTACCCAACAATGACTATATGCCCCCAGGTCCCTGGAGGTTTAAGGTGCTTTAATCATAATGAAAGGTTCTATTAACCTAATGCTATTAGTGAAGTTAATGGGTCTGCCTTAAAATTGGATAAAATGGAGTTAAAGGTTATTTATTCACGAAAGTGCAGACAGTGGTGGTTCTTGTATCCTTAAGTTCTCTTGCTCCACGTATGCCTGGACTTGTGATAAGACCGTGACTTAGCAGAGTGTGCAGACCCGGGACTCTGAGAATGGGGAGATGCTCTCCACATGAGGTTCCGGGATATGACCCTCTGAAGATTCTTCATGGAAGACCCTGCAGCCCTGGTGACCACCCAGGGATGATCCAAGGCCTGCCCAGCTGACATGCGATGACTAGCCTCCAAAATCAATAGTTGGTCTATAAAGTCCTTCGCCAAGTGAGAAATATTTGGCCAAGGCTAAGAAGAAAAAGAAAGTAAAAATAAAAACACATGAAAACACATAATCAAATTCTTATAACTAAATTAATACATATCAAATCCAAAAGACTTTCTCAAATAAGCAAGTAAAATACCATATCATTGAATATGCAGTGAACCTAAAAATCCATTTTTGAGGGGAAAAAAACCTTTGTTTAGCAAAAAAATAAAACAAACACAGAAATTCTCTTCCAGACTCTTTGTCCAATGAATGAGAACTCATTTCCAGAAATCTGTCCAGTGTGCTGTGGATGAGCAGTGTGAGTTCCCACACTACATTTATGTAATCTGGACACAGCAAAACAGCTGTTGTTTGTAAACTATGCCAATATCAGGTGAATATTTACCACATTCCCATCATCCCAGAGTCACTGTGACTCCAAGAATGAGCTAGAATGGAAAGTGGAATGCATTGAGAAATCACCAAATTTTCTCTCCCTTTGAAAGCTCAGCCTAGCCTTAGGGTGCCTCCACCTGCACTGCCTGGAGAGAAGGGGGAGAACAGTAAAGATCTTCATGGAAGAATCCTTCTGCAGAGCATTTCCTCTCCACACAGCCCAGGGCCCTCACTGCTCCCAATCAGTTGGCTACACATGAGATTCAGCATGGAGCAGAGCTAAGACATGACGCAATATGGGCAACTAGCTATTTGATGTTCCAGGGACTTATTCTGTCAATATTTATAGCCTTTACACATATACTTTAAGTACAATAGCAGCAATTCACAGTGATGTTAATGAGGATGGGGACAAGAAAGCTGCTGATTTAAACTTGTTTTCTGCATCATCTACCAACTCCATAGCACACACCTAGAGCAAACTATAGCTTTGCACCCCTTGTCATCTACAAAGAAAAAATACTGAGAAAATTGTCCCTATATTTCCTGTATCTCAAACAGCAATTTTGGGTTGATGTGAGATTTTAAAAAATTATATCTCCCAAGAAAGAAAAGGGAATCCTTACAAATTCATGTCTTTGTCCTTGTGTAAGGAAATATCACACTCTACACATAGCATCATACTTTCCAATCTCCTTGCATTCTATTAACCTAGAATTTGAATCAAAAGAAAACAGTAAGGGATTGATCTTTTTTCCATTAGTTTATTTAGTTTAGGTAAATAAGATATGAGAAATAATTATCTCAAAAATAAAACTCATGAAATAAGTACACTCATCTGCTAAATAAAACACAGGAAAGATAAAATATAAAACCTGCAAGTCTATATAAAGCAGGTCAGTGTCTGACACCCCTGATAGCATGTCCTCTCATTCTGGCTGGACAGCTATTTAGCCCTGGATCCAGACACATTTATCTGGGCTCAGACTATTTAAATGAAGGTTAAATTAGATGTTACCGAAGGAACATTATAAGAGAAGCAACTGAATCCTTCTGGAAAGAATACATGTGTAGTGAGATTTATGGAGAGCTCATTAAGATGACCCAAAATAAATATTCATTTAAAATACAGTTGTAGAGAGGGATTAAAGATGGCAGCATGAGAGGTGAGACAGAAACCTCCTCCCAAAACCACATATAATTATGAAAATATAGCAAATACATCTAATCCTGAAAGAGTAACAGGAAAGAAGGCTGTGGCAGACTGCCTAAACCTGGGGAAAACAGCAGACCTCAAGGAAAAGGGTAAAGTACCAAAGCTGTGATCTGGAGGAACCCAAGCCCTTCCCCCTCCTCAGTTCACCAGAATGGGGAAGAGAAACAGAGCATGGAGGGAGTGGAGGCCTAGGAGTGCTGAACACCCTGCCCTGGAGATCTGCTCTGGAAGCACAAACTTATATTACATGGTGCTCTGGAGATGAATGGGGATGGAAAGCTAAGGGAGGCAGAATGTTTGGAGAGACTGAGATTCCAGCTGCTTGTGGAAAACATGTATCCAAACCGGCTGCTCTGGGACAAAAGAAAGGGGGGCGGTCTGAGAGAATTCCAAACAGTGAGAAGGCTACTAAAGGGGCAAGGATTGCACAGAACTTGTTGCTCAGAAGAAAGGACAGGTGGACAAAATTTCCAGGTGCACTCTGCCCAGCAGGTTGGGTACTTTCAGGAGCTTCAGGTGCTCCATCCCCCTGGATGGCTACACAGGGACAAAGCACCCCACCATGATAGGCAGCTTGCTGCACCTTCCTCCTGGTTGACACCAGCTCACAAACCAAATGCCCCCACCATTGCACCAGGCCAGCCAGAGGGTGGTCCCTCCTATGGCAGCTACAAGTGCAAAGAATAGGCTTCTCCTGCATGCTCCATCCCTGGCCCTGGCAGTGGAGGCAGACACTGCAACCGGAAAGCAGAAAAAAGTACTTTCTTCCCTACAGGCACCAACACTGTTCACATGAAACCCCCACTATTGCTCCAGGGGGTGAGCAGCTCCAGAGAATAGAGCTTCTGGGCACTAGATGGGGCCACTTACAAATATGAAACATCAAAGGAACCTGGCTCAAATCAAAATCCCACAAACACCAGAAAGAGGGACAAGTGAAACTGAACTCATTGATCTTCCTGGAGAAGATTTCAAAATAAAAATCATAAACATACTCACAGAACTACAGAAAAATACTCAAGAACTCAGGAAGGAATTTAGGGATGTGATACAAATGTTGAAGAATTCAGTATCTAAAATGAAACATACAATGGAGGGATTTAAAAGCAGATGAGGTGAAGTAGAGAAGACGGAAAATGAAATAGAAATTAGAGAAGAGGCATACAAAAAGCTGAGGCACAAAGAGAAAAAATGATCTCTAGGAATGCAAAATATTGAGAGAACTGTGTGACCAATCCAAACGGAATAATATTCACATTATAGGGGTATGAGAAGAAGAGAGAGAAAAAAGGATAGAAATTATCTTTGAGGAGGCAGTTGCAGAGAACCTTGCCAATCTGGGGAAGGAGATAATCTCTCAGACCATGGAGGTGCACAGATATCCCAACACAAGGGACCCAAGGAAGACAACACCAAGACATATAATAATTAAAATGACAAATATCAAAGATAAGGACAGAGTATTAAAAACAGCCAGAGAGAGAAAAAAGATCACATACAAAGGAAAACCCATCAGGCAATCATCAGACTTCTCAACAGAAACCTTACAGGCCAGAAGGGAGTGGCATGACATATTTAATGCCATGAAACAGAAGGGCCTGAACCAAGGATACTCTACCCGGTAAGATTATCATTTAAATTTGAGGGAGGGATGAAACAATTTCCAGATAAGCAAAAGCTGAGAGAATTTACTTCCCACAAAACATCTCTACAGTCTGTTTTGGAGGCTGCTATAGATGGAAGTGTTCCTAAGGCTAAATAGCTGTCACCAGTTTAGGAACACAAGTGTTCCTAAGGCTAAATAGCTGTCTAGTTTCTAGATATGAAACTAGAAATAAATTACACAAAGAAAACAAAACAGCCAACAAATACATGGAGGCCTAATAACATGCTCCTAAATAATCAATGAATCAATGGCTAAATATAAAGAGATCAAGCAAAATCACAGTAAAGAAAGTAGAACAATTAATTAATTAATTAATTACTAAGCAGATACAAAATCAAATCACCTATCCCAAAAGTCAGTTGAGGGATACACAAAGAATATAGAATTTGATACCTAATATATAAGGAATGGTGGAGGAAGAAAAAGGAGGAAAAAAGAAAAAAGAACCTCTAGATTTTGTTTGTAATAGCACACTAAGTGAGTTAAGCTAGACTGTTAGGTAGTAAGGAAGTTACCCTTGAACCTTTGGTAACCACGAATCTAAAGCCTGAAATGGCAATAAGTACATACCTATTGATAATCACCTTAAATGTAAATGGTCTGAATGCACCAAACAAAAGACATAGAGTCAATGAATTGATAAAAAAAAACTAGACCCATTTATATGCAACCTACAAGAGACTCACTTCAAACCAACACATACACAGACTAAAAGTGAAGGGATGGAATAGAGATATTTTATGCAACTAACAGGAAGAAAAAAGCAGGACTTGCAGTACTTGTATCAGACAAAATAGACTTCAAAACAAATGAAGTCACAAGAGACAAAGGACATTACATAGTGATAAAGGGTGGGTCCATTTATAAACATTATAAATATCTATGCTCCCAACATAGGAGCACCTACATATGTGAAACAAACACTAACAGAATTGAAGGAGGAAATAGAAGGCAATGCATTCATTTTAGGAGACTTCAACACTCCACTCACTCCAAAGAAGATCAACCAGACAGAAAATAAGTAAGGAGACAGAGGCACTGATCAACACATTAAAACAGATGGACCTAACAGACTTCTACAGAACACTCCACCCAAAAGCAGCAGAATACACATTCTTCCCAGTGCATATGAAACATTTTCAAGAATAGATCATATATTAGACCATAAAAAGAGCCTCAGGAAATACAAAAAGATTAAAATTGTACCAACCAGTTTCTCAGACCACAAAGATATGAAACTAGAAATAAATTACACAAAGAAAACAAAACAGCCAACAAATACATGGAGGCCTAATAACATGCTCCTAAATAATCAATGAATCAATGGCTAAATATAAAGAGATCAAGCAATATATGGAGACAAATGAAAATAATAACTCAATACCACAAAATCTGTAGGACTCAGTGACTAAGAGGAAAGTATATTGCAATACAGGCTTACCTCAGGAAAGAAGAATAATCGCATATGAACAGTCTAAACTAAAAATGAATGCAACTAGAAAAGGAAGAACAAATGAGGCCCAAAGTCAGTAGAAGGAGGCACATAATAAAGATTAGAGCAGAAATAAATAAAATCGAGAAGAATAAAACAATAGAAAGAATCAATGAAAGCAGGAGCTAGTTCTTTGTGAAAATAAACACAATAGATAAACGCCTAGCAGACTTATCAAAAAAAAAAAGAGAGAGTCTACACACATAAACAGAATCAGAAATGAGAAAGGAAAAATCATTATGGACACCACAGAAATACAAAGAATTAT